GGTGTAGTAATGATCCAGAAAGCAAAATAACAATGACAGAGAACAGAGGGTGGTGGAAGAAGGTTGAACAGCGGTGGAGAATGAAGGGAAGGGGGAAAAATGGGGTTCGGGTAGGAGAAATATGGAGAAGTGCTGAAGCAGGTGAAGAAAGAGATGATAAAAACAGAAAAGAGAATTGTGGAGAGCAGAGATGAACTGAGAGCATCTTTTCCTTTTTCTCCCCCAGAAGTGCCAAAATAAGGTATTCTACTCCACTGATGCTTCCTCATGTGCTGTAAACAGCAGTATTTAATTTGTACTACTGTCATGAATTACATGAATAAAAATATCAAGACCACTTTTCTAAGTTGTTACTTTTGTGAGATTTAAAAAAAAATTATAAGTTAATGTTTTAGCCTTTTTATGCAACATTTTATGAGATTAAAAACAGTCAGTGTGTGAAAAATGTTTGTTAAAAAGTCAAGCAGATAGAGGCTAGTGTGCAGATCCAAGTATGCATGGGTGTGGGTGCAGGACCAAAGCAACTGTATAAACAGTACGCTATTAAGCTGGTGGGTTATAAGTTGTAACCTAATACACAGTAACTATCCAGCAGAATAGATACATTTTTAGAATATGTAAAATAAAACAAAGAAAAATCCTGGAACATGTTTCAACTTAAGACTGTTGAAAGAAACCTTTTAACACTTCATACACCTTAACTTGGTTTTCTCAACTTGTTTGAACGGGGCCAGATTCTGAAGTAATGTGATAGCCTAGAAAAATATGTAGTAAAGTAAAATCAATGCCTCTTTAGTGGAAGTATAATTACCACCTAATAGAAACTAGAATTACCACTTTGTGGTTGTATGCCTCTGCCAACCAGTCAAATTCACAGGAATGGGATAGATATGAGATCACTGACCTTTTTCCTAACACATACACATAAAATCACATTGAAAATTTATTAATTTCTAGCACCAGGACAATAGGCATCGGCCCACATGTGAGGGTTCAAAGACAGGTAATGTCGCTCACCGCTACTGGACAGTAACAACTCAGTCGTTAGGGGACATTGTTGGCTGTCGAAGGACTGAAACACCATAAATATCTCCTGCTCACCACCAGTCGGACAGAACTGATGAAGCCCCTTGGATGAGAGGTGAAACGTCTTCTACCTAAAACCAAGTCCAGATGATTTTTTTTTTCCACGTTTTTTTTCAGTATCCAGGCCACATGGTAAGTTTATGTTGGACATAACACTGCAGTCCATGTATCACTTTAGTGAGAAGTTGTTAAAATGTGTGCCATCAACACAACTATAAAAGTGGGGAGTTTGTTCAACATTCAAAGTGTAACATGAAATTTCTCGTTTCATATACATACAACTCCACTGTTATGTGTGTCAAGTATGCAACACTGAATGTGATGCAATAGTGGCCTTAACATTATCAATAATACAGGGAAAAAGCATTCCTCTGTATAATTTCCTTGTGTTACTGTTTTAAGTCGAAAAAAGAACCCTTGTCGCAGCAATGTCACTGAAAACTACAAGCTCTATGGGCTCTATGTTCCATACACATTAATATTACTGCTGAGCTGCCTCATGGCCGAGTCTGTCTCCAGCTCTAGTTACCATATGACGTAGGTTCACAGACAGGGCAGGAGGGGTAGGAGGAATGGAGGGAGGAGAGGAGGGGATACCGCTTGAGTTTGTTTTGATTCTAGCACATTCTCTAATGGTCTAAAGTTTGAGGGTGAAAGTTAGCTAGTGGGGCTTTAAAATAACTAGAGTAAACCTAATATATAAATACCACCTACAGTATAGTACACACGCACAGGAGGAGTCACAGTGTACAAATATTTCCAGCTCTGAAGAGAGATTTTTCACAGCTTTCTGGCGAGGCAGCAAGTTTGTTTGTGCTTCTTTAGTGTGGGAGACAAAATACAAACGTTCATTAGAGTTGCTTCAAAGGTACTGCAGTCACATACTCATTTTTAGAATCCTGCTTACGCTCCCTGCACATCAGAATGTGATGACGTTGCCTTGTGGCTACAGACAGCCCACTGAAAAGGGAATTGACGCTGAGATGATGAAGAGGCCCATTGACTTTATATGAAACCTGCAGCTGAAGACACACACCAGGAGCAACTTGACCTTGGAGCATCTTGAATTGCACATATATGGATTGTTCAGTTTTTGAGTTTTAACATACGTATTTGCAAACATTTCTGAAAATATTTTCACTTTGTCCATTTAAAATTACATCCACGACACAATAAAAGAAAGTAAAGGAATGTGAATACTTTCTGAAGCCACTCTCGATACATGTGTGGTCTTCCTCTCACACACAGACAACAGTGGGTGGAAGTTAAATCCAAGGTGACGTGCTGACTAAACTGCTCCCTGCTGTTGACCAGCTACTGTTCAGGTCAGGATATAAACAGACACACACATACACATACCACACATACTGCTGTTTCATGCCAACTGTTGGCTCACACACACTTGCAAACACATACACGCACACACAGCTTCAGGTGACAGAGATTAATAGCCTTACTGACTGACAGAGTAACTTTAACTTCCTTTGTGTCATTGTCAGCCCCTGGCTGTATGTATCTCAGTGTGTGTGTATGTGTGTGTGAAGCCATTATTAGAAGTATAATTGTGGAGACATTTAAAGTGTTTTCCCTCAAGGGCTCTCCCAGCATCCAATAATGTTTTCATACCACAAGAGAGAGTGAGTGGAAACAGTGACAGAAAGGACAGGGAGGAGAAGGAGAGGACAGAAAACAGAGAGATAAAGAAGTTGTTCAAAGGATACTGTCCTGTAAAAATTGACTCTGTCACAGGTTACTACAAACAAGAGTTACGTATTATAGTTTGGTGACCTCTAGCAACTGTAGTAACCATGACACGAGTAAGGAAGAAGTTAAGAGACGTAGCATATAGAGCCACAAAGTCTGTGTTAGGAGGTAGTTGGGGTGAATGGTTTGGTACATAAAACACAACTCTACACCAGTCAAGTGAGCTTTGGTGGGTAATGTGTTTTTCTGAAGTTGTTTTTGCTCTTAAACCTAAGCAAGCAGATTATAACATAAAACATAAAGAAAAAGTTAGTGTCCATGGTGACGGAGTTCTGGTATGCTTGCCATTGTGTTTATGGCTGTTTCCAAAATGACACAAGCCCACAGCATAAAGCTGGCCAGTGTGGCATACTGTATGTTGTTCTTAATGTAAGCGGAGTTCTTGCACTTCTACCTGCCATTATAAGAGCGCTGTATCAGGAGATATGGAGGACATGTTGGTGTAGAAAAGTACTGCTGTTAGCAACAATCATTTGGTGTCCCAACTATGCACTTTACTCAGACTTCGCCGCTGCAGTTTTGATGTCCTTCATATCTTCATATTCACAGTATTTATTTTTTATTGTTAATCCATGCAGCACTGTTACACATGGAAGTAAACTCAAATGTAGGACTGGGGTTCTGTTATGGTAGCCCCCCCCCCCCCCCGGGGGGGGGGGGGGGGGGTGGGGTGGGC